CGGTACCCCCACCCCCAGCTCAGCATCTCTGTTTCAAGTTGCTGCTTCCCCCCCTTCTATCTGCTCTCCTAGGTGAGGAATGATGCCCTTTATCAATAATAATAACGAGAATTGTATAGCGCTTTACAGTTGCTAAGAGCTCTCTCTCTTACTGCCCTTGGTCGTCAGGCTAAGCCTGTGAGGTGGGTGACACTGGTAAGGTGGGGTCACCTTTCAAACTGTCTCGCCCCCGGCTGGGGCGCAGGGAGCCCTGGTCTGCTCTGCACCTCCTTTCTCCCGCCTGCCCTAGGCTGGGCCACGTGGGATGGGGTGCGTGGGATGTGTCAGTGGGGTATGTCTGACCCTGGCCTGCTGCTCTGGGAAAGGGAAGGGATAGCACCCCTGAGAAGAGGTTTGTCCAGTGACCACAGTGTCCTGGGCGCTCACCTAAAATGAAGAGGGAATCAACAAATAGTTGTACACTGGGCAAAAAGTCAGTAAGTCAGTGGCGTTGTCAGTGCTGGGTACCAGACGTGGACTTAAACGCTGTAAATCCCCGAGCCTGTTTTGAAGTGGAGTTTGTCCTGCCCTTCAAGGTACCACCAGCTTCCCCACCTAGCGACTGGCCCAGACCGAGGGGTGGGTCTGTTTTACCTGTTCATCTGTCATAGAGACGACCTAGGAAGCTGATGGTCTTGGTGGTCTTTGAATTTGAGAGCCGCTGTCTCTGACATGTGGCCACACGTGCCCATCCCCTTAGTAGTTCTGAATACTCGTTACACGTTGAAATGATGGTATTTTGGAAACATTGGGTTAAATAAAATTTATTACTGAAATTAACTTTACCTTTTTATTTTTACCTTCCTAAGTGTGGCGCCTAAAACTATTACGCATGTGGCTCACGTTTGTGGCTTGCATTTCTGTTGCGCAGCCCTGCTCCCCAGTAAAGAAAGGGTGACCCCTTATCGCTCTGGCTTTCCTGAGCCTCCGCCAGCCTACTTGATAATGGACAACCAGAAAAATGCTAACAGGCACACAGGAAGATTATGGAGTGAGATCTTCACACCCTCGAGATCTGTGTCTTTTTTTTTTTTGGTCCCTCTTGGGGGGAGAAGTGTAAATCCACATCTTGTTATGTTTGTTTAGCCTTTAAAAGCAAGAGCAGATTAAAGTGATTTTGGTGTCCAGTTGCCTTGACGTTATGACCTGGTCGAGGTTGCTTTCATCCCAGGGAAGTTGCCTACTGACCTGACAGCGATTATAGGTGTTTGACTATCTTGGTGCCCGGAGCATTGGATCCTGATTGGGTTACATACCTGTGGTTAGCACGCGGCTACTTTATACAGAATGTCTGCGCCCTTTTGGACTCTTACGTACAGCCTCGTAGAATGATCGATAATTTCTGTGTTGGAATCTAGGAAAGATAAAAGGAGCAAGTATGTGGCTAGCTCTTAGATGGCAAGAGGCTGCATGCTCCCAAGTTGCATGATACATTTCTGGAATATTTCTCATAAGAGTGATATGAAGGTATTGACTTTTTAACCAACTATTGATGTATGCGAATGTGTGTGCTTATAGGACTATTTTTAACTGTCTTTGCCAACCTCTTTTCTCAACCCCCATTTTATAAATACATCCTACTGATAAGCAGCCCTTCCTGTAGACTTTGCCACTCTCGGTATCGCCCTGAGTGTGGCTGTGGAGATTGTGAGCGCTGTAGAAAGCTATAGATTCAGAACTATCGAAACCCGAGTGCAGTCTGCAGCTTGCCCTCAGTGATGTCATTGGGCAGATACGTGCATTAGGGGAAAGGCTGATGTCTACAGAATGAATGAATTCTCTGGTTTTTATTATTATTATTATTTGTATGAATCTTTAGCTATACTGTCACCAACTTATAACATTAGTATAAGCTCACTAAATATGAGCAACGTGTTGGGCACGGGTCTAAGCATTGTGTAAGTATTAGCTCATTTAATATGCACAACCATTCNCATTAGTATAAGCTCACTAAATATGAGCAACGTGTTGGGCACGGGTCTAAGCATTGTGTAAGTATTAGCTTATTTAATGTGTACAACCATTTGAGATAGGAACTATAATTTCCATTTTGCAGTTGAGGGAACTGAGGCACAGAAAGGTAAAATGCCTTGACCACTGTCACATAGCTGGGAAGTGACAGAGCCGAGTTTCGCCCCAGGCGGTTTGGCTTCATTCCATCTTCTCAGGAGGCCTTGCCAGGATCATGCCCTATGGGACTCTGGATCTTCACCGCATTCATGACTAGACCTTCAGGATTCCCACGATGCGAGTTACTGATACCATGCGTTAGTGTAGGAGGGTCATCCAGTGTGTGTCTTATCCACATATTTGGTATATATCAGGAAAGTTGTTTGTAAATCAGATTAATTCATAGTTCATGGCACCTTGCCTTTCAAATAACTCAGTAAAGTTTTCTTAATCCTAATGATTGAAAAACACTCACTGAAGCATTTATTATGTGTCAAACACTGGGTTAAGTGCTCTATTTAGACTTCACTTAATCCTCAGAAAACCCAGTGAGGTGTATGAACCATTATGAGTGCATATTAAAGATGAAGAAATGAGGGGCGGGGGAGAGGGAGACGGGGAGAGAGAGTTTGCCCAGGGTCCCATATTTATAAGTACCCGTGCTCTTAAATGCTGGCCTTCCCGTCACTTTATCACATGGCCTGTACCAGGCAGTGGAATTTAGTGGTGAGAGTGTGGGCTCTGGAATGAGACTCTGGGTTCACACCCCAGTTCTACCCCTGACTGTGTATCTTATGTGAGCTCCCAATAAATTAGCACTCCTTGTTTTTATTGCTTCCTCTCCTCTTTTTCCTATGGCTCCAGGACATAAATTCTTCTCTCTGAGCAGCCAGGCCTGTCATAAGGTTGATTCCTACCATTCAGGGGCACCAGTCAGTGCCCAGGAGATTTTCCTGCCACCTGCCCGCCACGACGACTTGCAGCTGGTCAGGAAGGGTCCTGGTTAGCAGAGTGATAGATGCCTCTTGCCAGTATCATAAACCTTCAAAACATATTTTCTCAACTTTTTTCTTTTTAAAATATGTTTTTATTGATGTTTTAGAGAGAGAGGAAGGGAGAGAGAGATAGAAACATCGATGAGAATGAAACATTGATTGGTTGCCTCTTGCACACCCCCTCCTGGGGGTCCAGCCCACAGCCCGGGCATGTGCCCTGACCAGGAATTGAACCAGTGACCTCTTGGTGCACGGGAGGCCACTCATTCAACTGAGCCACACTGGCCAGGGCTCGACTTTTTTCTTATAGTCACTGGACTTCCAGTGAGCGTAGCATTAGACTGGCTCTTGCTGTCATTGGCGACCTGTCTGGCACCTGGTCCGTGACTGGGCATCTGCGTCACCTGGAAGACTGTTAGAGATGCAGAGTCACAGGCCAGTGAATCAGAGTCTGCATGTTAACCCGGGTGATCCATTTGCTCTGTGGTGTTTGAGATGCACTGCTCAGCACACAGCTGCAAACACATCTCACACTTCACTGGTAGGTCCTGCTCTCCCATCTGACATGGACTTAATTTTATCTGTTTTTCAGTGATGCTTGACTGGCCACTAATTNTCCCATCTGACATGGGCTTAATTTTATCTGTTTTCCAGTGATGCTTGACTGGCCACTAATTAAAGCAAAAAGGCAGTCTTAGGATGTGTCCTTATATTTATAAGCAGCACCCAGCAACAACGTCAGGTAATTCTCAGGAAACTAACTGAGATAGTTCCCCTGAGATTCCTTA